TTAAAACACACGATCTAGAATCCCTCTCTTCCCCCCCCCCCCCCCCCTCTCTCTCTGACTGACACGTGGCAACTAAAGAGAGAGACATCTCACTGCACAATCATGTCGAACTAAACCCTTTCAAAGAAGTAAAGATGTGACCATTTACTTGCCACCATAACAAAGAGCAAGGACACTGAGCATTGTACTGTCGAGAGGTCAAGAGATGCTTCTGATACTCAAGATACCTTTGTACACATGAGCCACATTTCCAATACTCAAGATACCTTTGTACCGTCGGTCGAGAGGTCCTTCCGAAGCCAGAAGTTAACAAGAAACGAGTCAATAATAATCTGCATCAGTAAAATTATTTGTCAGTTAAAGAAAATTTAAGAAGATGCAGATGAAAGGACGTAAGAAGAACCTGATTTAAGTGTGCTGCAACACAAGGAAGAACAAGCAAACCAGATTCACCCAGTGCACCACCAAGTTGCTCCACAACAGCCACCATTACAGGCAGAGTTTTCTGCGAAAAGCATGCCAAGGCATCAACAATCATTGATTACATTAAAGAAAACAATTACAGATTTTGTTAAGGAGTTGCTTCTTACAAAGTCAAAAGTTGATAGGTATCCTAAATAAAATAGTCACTTAGGCCTACAAGAGATCTCAGATTAAGTCACAACTTCACCAAGGATGGGGAGTTCAAGAGTTGGAGAGCAAACATATTTCAATACCGGCTAGAGAAAGTAAAAGTTTGAAAAGAACGAGAATTTATTATTTGAAGGTACACATATCTCTCACCTGGCTCGCAACAAGGAGAACAGCATTGGCATTTTCTTTCTTGGAAAACACTGATCGACTGCCACCAGAGACAGCTGAGATGCTCTTTAGAGCAAGAGCATTAAAGGCTAACAAGATGAGGTGCAGAAGTCTGCAATAAAAGAAGAGAGATCTTGTCAGTATGCCAATGCATTTGAGCCCATCAAGTTTCTAAGACACCTATCTTGTGTGCAATCCAAATACATCACATATCGTTTGCGTTTAAGTGTGGTTCATTAGAACATCTTCAGCCGAAGAATGTCAAGGAGTGCACTAAGGGTTTAAAAGATACTGGATACAAGTCCAATAAAGAAGACCCAGAGGAACAATCTGGATTCAATATTTTTTAGAAGAAACAAACCTTTTATAATGCTAACAAAAAATACAGTACCAGTGGACAAGGTGTGCGCTCTAAGAACATACTACAAAACAAGGAAGAAAAAGAACAGACATAGAACTAGCGTATCAAAAATAGAATAATATTGAACCGAAGAAGCCCCCCAAGCACTTCTACAATTTGACTTCAATATCATTTCTACTGGCCAAGGACCAATAAATTCTCAAGCAATATTTGTTGTAGGTAAAGTATTATTGCTTCCAAATTGAACCATGTGAACAAAAATATAAACTGAAACTTCAACTTGTGAAATAGCTCCACTCAATGAGAATGAAAGTAGAAATGAGGTTGCCGAGCCTTGTACGGGCTTGTAACTAAGCAGGGTATTAAAGTGATTGCTTTGTGATGGACTTTAAGCTAGGTGGGCAGGATTGGTCTAGTCAAATCTACGCTATGTAGCATGTGAGTTTGCATTAAGCATGCCCTATCCCCTCAGGTTAGTAGGGGCCCACATACACTACGAATGGGGAAAAAAAAATTGTAGAAATGATGTCTTACACCCTACAGACTAGTTAATGTTTGAGAAAGCATCATGCATGTCCCTAAAGATTCAGCACCAAGTTTAGATATTTTCGAAGTTTCTGAAGGGGGATTTCTCACCTAAAACATTCTGCATGAAAAGAACTAGACTGGCTAGAAGTTCCTAGAAATAAACTTAAAAAGCGAAGACAAAAATAATTCAAATTTGTACTATGGCATTAAAGCATTAAACTAGTGAGAACAAGAAATTTTTTTTGAAAATAAGGGTGAAGATCATACACTCCCATTCCAATAGCCACAAGAAAAACTGGAGGCTTAACCATCAACAGCAGTGACCTCGACCTACTAACTTGTATCCATGGCACCTGAATAACCATCAGATGTTTAAAAGTTTACAACATCTGCAATTTAAAACTTAAGAGAAACAAAGATGTCCTACAAGAACCAAAGACAACACACATTTCCCAAAATAAATTTAAGTGTCAGCTAGGATCTGTACATTTAGTATTTGAACTCGCTTGGGGCAACATGTCAACTTCCACATTCTGAAGAAATGAGAACATTGTGACACAAGAATTTAACAATTTTTTTCCATTTAAATATAATGATCGTATCACCAGAACATCATAAATAAATTAATCAAACATGAGAACGAACTACATATCAAATCAGCAATGAATAAAAAGAATGCAGTATAATAGACTGAAAACATAACCATCACCAGAACATTTTTCTTTTTTGACAAGTAAATTTCATTCCCAAAAATCAATAATTACAAAACCAAAAGCTCAGTACAAAATAGACCATAACAGCAACCAAACATATACAATTACAGTCTCAGGTTGTTCAAAAACTTCATAAAAAAATGAAAAGGTTCCCCGTTATCTAAAAGGACAGGATGCACAAGATAGAATGCTTGAGGACCCCAATTGGGGCCTACGCATCCTTTAAGCATCTGTTGCTTTCCTTCCATATGCATCCACAACGAAGCAATCAGCCAACACTCATGAAAGCCCTGCTAACTCTAAACCCCCCAAAGCCCATAACAAATCCTCTACTTGACATGTTTCCCAGTTATGCAGATATTTGAGAAACGGAATGTCACAAACCATATCCTTGCCAAAAATACTGAAACTCAAAAATCACGACAAAGTTGCTTTTATGCAAGGCTTTTTATCAAAAATGGTCCCTGAGGTTTGTGAAATTATCACCTTTCGTCCCTAAAATTTTTCTGTGACACTGACCACACATCAAAATGGTCCCTACCGTTGGCTTCCGTCAAATTTTCTGTTAAATTGCTGACCTGGCACATGTGTAGAGCCCACACATTCAATGGTATAGAGTCACGCGGCTCTAAATAAAATATAATATATTTTAAAACTTTAAAAAAATTTTAAAAAATTTGGAAAAAAAAAACTCCTGCAAAGCAGCTATCACTTAGCCAAGGCTTTGCCCAATTTGGACTTGGAGATGTAGAGCAGCTTGAAGTTGGACCAGCGCTTGTCTCTGACGAGAGCCTGGTCGAGCCTGCAATTGCCATTGAGGCCATTGACGACAGTGTAGTTGACGCGGTTCTTATGAGGCCGAGGAGGAGGTCGAGGTTTCAGAGGCCGACGTCGGCGTCGATGGAGATGACGGAGAAGCCGAGGCGGGTGAGGGTGAGGCCGACATTGGTGGTGATTGTGGCCTTGCCGACGCCGACTTTACTAGAGGTGATGACAACTACGTGGGGGGTGTTGCCGGAAAATTGGGGCTTCCTATTGTATTGGAGGACGGAAGAAGGGATGGGTTTTAGGGTTTTGGGTTTTGGTTGGTGAGGAAGGAAGAGGAGGAGGAGGGCTTGGCATTGATGATGGTGGGGAGGAGTTCAAGAGAGAGCATTCCCTTGCCTTGGATTGGTTAAGGGGAGATCATCAAAATAATGGAGGTTGAAGAAGAAGATGAGCATGTCCTTTGGTGGATATGCAGGAGGGTTTTTTTTTAGGCAGAAGGACAGGTGCAGGTTTTTTATTTTTCCTAAAAAAACTCAATTATTTTTTAATTATTTTTTATGGATTTTAAGTTTTAAAATATTTAAAATATATTTTATTTTATGTCAAGCCATGTGGCTCTATACCATTGGATATGTGGGCTCCACACATGTGCCACGTTAGCAATTTAACAGAAAATTTGACGGAAACGAACAGCATGGACCATTTTGATGTGTGGAGGGTAACCTTAAGGACCATTAGTGTCACAAAAAAAAGTTAGGGACGAAAGGTAATAATTTCACAAACCTCAGTGACCATTTGTGATAAAAAGCCTTTATGCAAAACTGAAAAGTATGCGGGGAAGACATCTGCTATGGATGATCCCCGCACCAGACATCTGACAAAAGGTGAACCAGGCCACCATCCCCGCACCTTAGACCTAATGAGTTTGTAAACTCTGTAAGAAGCATCCGAACCTTTCCCGACACCTTCTCAACACCTATCCTAAAACATTTGCACATTGTGCATCTTTGCTGGGTACCATCCCCTGACCCAACAACAAATAAGTGGGAAAGCATCAGTCTGATCTAAGCTCTTCCTTATTTGAGTTTTTTTATGCCAAATACCAGAAGATCCCAGTTTCCGTAAAATGGACTAATACTTAAAACTTCAGAAGACCCGGGAGAGAGAAACATTACAATGCAAGAACGATAATTATATAAAACACAAATTTCATTGAAACCAGAAGAATAGTGCCCAAGAATACGCCGAACTGATAAACCACAATATTTCACCAATGGGCTACATATCCAAACAACCTACACAGTCATAAATGCCTTGTACATAAACAAACAAATATCATGGTGAAGAGGAAATTAAAATAGTACGACAGTATAACCAAAATTAAAAAGTAGATAGAAAAATATAAACCAGGACATTGGTCTTACTAAACTGAGGAAGACTGCACTGATTTTAGAAAAAAGCTTACGGTTTTGATCAACAAAGTCTGCAACACCTGTAATGGACATTTAATGAGGACTGACTAACAAAAGATAAAGTGTTCAGACATTAGAAAATTGACTAAAATACTGATCTTCTTAAAGTTTAGCATGGATGTCAGAATTCATCCTGTTCGTTTAATCAAATTACGGTTTCTATACCAGATCAAGCCTAAAATAAAAGGTTATTCTAACCCAACGTCATTCTACATTCATATGAGGGTTAGCTTTGTAACTATTTTAATCAGAAGGACCCAAAGTCTCAAGAGTGTTTCTGGTATGTTTGAGGCTAAGCTTTGAAGGTGAGAGATAACCATTAAAAATTTCTAATGGGGGTGGACGGATATCCCTCATTCCAATGCTGAAAATTCCTGTCCATTTCACCAGTGGATGAAGGCCTTAGGCTTGACAATGTAAAATGGTAAGTTTCTCACTGACTCTTAACCTATTGCAAAGTGTGCAAGTTTTCTACACAATCAAATCAAGATTTTGAAATTTTAAGAAATGTGTAGTTTGTGATTTAGGAAGTGGAAGTTTGGGAGTTTTAAATGTTAGATAAACTTTAACAATACAATCAAAGGCATCAATATGAAATCTAAAGCACCATTTCAAGAGGGCAACAAACTAACATGAGAAAAACAAAACTAGAGCGGACAAAAGCCACACAAAAACTACTAGCCCATATCACTACAATTAACCATAAGTCCAAATAAATCTCACAAACCCAATTTAGGAAGTGGAAGTTTGGGAGTTTTAAAATTGTAACATTCGGTAACATTTTCGGAGAATGTTTCTGAGAATATTTTCTGAGAATGAAATGAGAAAACGAATTTGCATTTTTAGGATTCGAAAATGTGTCTGGTAGATTAATTGGAAAACAGATTCAGAAAATAAAAACAGTGAAAACGTGTCTATTAGGACAATTTGAGAATAATAATGTATGAGTTATTTTTCAAATATATTTTTGCTAATTTTTGTTCTTAAAAAATATTTTAAATGACGGCTAAAATTATTATAAACAATGAAAAATGTATAATTTGAGAATAATAATGTTAGAAAAACCTAGATGATAAAATTCTATTATCTTTAGTTTAAAATAAATATGAAATTGAATAATATATGATGGTTTTATCATAAAATTAATATACACTGGTGTAACAAAATAAAAAAATGAAGTTCAACAAAATAAAAAGAAAATTGAAAAAAGAAAAAGAAAAAAGAAAGCAATCAGACCAATACACTAGGTAGAAAATGAAAATGAAAATTTGGTGTTTTTAGTTTTTGTACATGAGTTTGAATTTGTTTTCAGAAAACGAATTCCAGTGAAAATGAAAACGACATACCGAACGCGTTTTTGATAGAAAATGAAAACAGGGCCATGAAAACGTTACCAAACGGCCCCTAAAAGACTTTCCTGAACTCTTATATATAGAAATTATTGATATTGTTGTCCATCTGAAAAACTCAGAGGCCAAACGTGCAATCTCCATTCTAGAATAGTATGTTAAGCATAAAGTTAATATCAGGGTGCGATGTCACTATTTCACATCAATCATTTTGTGTGTGAGGCCGCACATGCACATGCATTTGATGTTTGTATATAATGATTGTATTTGTGTACGTATGCATAGTGTATATATGTCTGTGTATCTATAAGAAATTATTTAGAATGAGACTGATAGCCTGAACTGTATTGTGCCTCATTCTTAGTACTCGGTAAATAAATAGCATTCGGGTCCTAAAATTCATATGAAGTTATTAGTTGCCACAAAAACAGTCCGGAAAATTAGACAACATCTGAAACATAAAGAAGATAATAGAATACTCACCTCTGACGGATTCTCGAAAAATCTGTTCAAGGAAAGGACAAGTAACTATGAAAACGATAAAACACCAAAGAGAGTATATAATGTATCTTTTCAAGAGGCAAACTAAACGATTTCTATAAAATAGTAAGAAAAAGGGAATATTGAAAAACACATCTGTGCTTACTTCAGTAAATAGTTGATAAATCAGAAAGTCAGTTTTGTTAGAAAGGAATTGATTACCTTCCCCAAGATTAGGGGGATCAACAATGTTAGAACTAGACTTTTGAACAGTTGCTTAGTTGGAACAGATACACCAACTCCATCAGCTACGTATTTTGATATAGAAAATGGGACCTATAAGGGGGATATGGTGTTAGCGTATGCTTAATGAGATCAACTAGAGAACTAAATCAGTTGCTGTAAGCCATACAGAGCAAATGCTGTTTTATCAATCTGATTCTATATAAATAAGTGAATGCAAACATAAATCGAGAACGCTTGGGATTTGAAAACTCACAATCAAAATTCCTAAAAGGTTAGTGATCACAGTAATGGCAAGAGCAAGAGCAGAATTGGCCCCCGCAAGCTGCATTTGAAGAACACAAACCTTTAGCTAAGCCCAAAACCTAGTAGATACTGCTAAAACAATAGCAGGAAAATGAAAATGTTCAACTAAGATCAAAGACAAAGGAATTAGCAACCTGAGTAAGCGCCACTCCACTTGATAGTGTAGTTGGCATACAACAAAATATTGCAAGCCCTACAACAATAAAGAAATTACTTTCAATTAAGCTTCAGGAATAACAGATGACTGATTCACCATGATTCTGCAAATTCCAAGCTAACTTACACAACAAAATTAAGTATTTGCAATCAAGCAATGAGAATCGGGGCAAAAAAAAAATCTGCTGAGTTGAAGCTTAGCTGTTTAACTAAAACGAGCAACCTTAAACACTATACTCAAGCACCTAAACACTATACTCAACCCTAAAAAGTTCTTGTCATTGCTTTGTCCAATGGCCATAGTTAGTGATACTAAGTCATCTACTATCAGATTCATAATTTCAGCCCCCATTTTGGGTGTTTTAGTGAAACCCCCAAAAAAAAATCTGCTGAGTTGAAGCTTAGCTGTTTAACTAAAACGAGCAACCTTAAACACTATACTCAAGCACCTAAACACTATACTCAACCCTAAAAAGTTCTTGTCATTGCTTTGTCCAATGGCCATAGTTAGTGATACTAAGTCATCTACTATCAGATTCTTGTCATAAATTTCTATTGCATGGAAAAGATCAATTTAAAAGAAGGATAATTCTCCAATTTTCATAGCCAGACAGGATCTCTCACAAAAAATTAAGCTGTTTGTCACTGAAGCAAGCTATAAACAGCATTATGCTTTAAGGGTGATTGAGCTAATTTAGTTGATTTGATTGAGCTCATTTGGATGACTTCTAGGGCTATACAGGAATTTTTCATTGAATTCAAATTTATTTGTTTATGGTATATTAGGCAATGTAAACTTTTTTAGAAGAAACCACAATTTCATTACGAACTTTCATACACAACAGGCCTGAAACTTCACAGCAATTTCATTCAGAATTTCTCAAATATTTTAAACAATAATATTTAAATAACAGAATTGCCCTCTCAACCAACACTACAGGTGAAAATAAATTCAATTGCCAAACCTCTAACAAACTCTGGAGGTTGGAGCTGCAGTTGCAATATTATCCTCGAAAAATATGGAGTAAATAAGAGAATGGAGACCTGAATCATGGAGAGGATTACCAATATGTAACAGATCTGGCTAGCATTAATGAAATGTCAATGCAAGTGGTATCCATAAGCCTCAGTTTAAAAATGGCTAAGGGATTAATTATATAATAACATATTCAGAAGCAATGGAAAATCAATGCAATCCACAAATCTCAGTTTAAGGTTGATAAAGTATCAGTTAGGAAAAAGAAAAAATCAAGTAACACATCTTAAAGAAACAAAATGAAGATAAACGAGCTCTCAGTTATGAGATATTGCCCCAACATTTTTCACCAGTCTACAGATATAAAGGCATATAAGACTATGTAGCTTGTTATAAGAAACAACAGAAATTCAATCATCGTGCCAGTCAGTGCAACTTGAAATAGGAGAGGTCGATGGAGACAAGAGACAATATTAGTTAATCCAAAGTCATATTTGTCAGTCTCAATGCTAAACACATGAGATATACACAATACATAAATGACATAGCATAGCATAAGCTTAAACCACCAGATGCAACAACATTTTAATAAAAGATGACATGAGTTTCACCATTTTTTCCAAACATCTAAAGGAACAAAAGCATGTCCTTAAAACATTTTCAAACATAGTTATACTTGATAAGAAAAAAGTTTTTAAAAGCAACATATAAATTGCAGAAATAGTGACATTGATCCACTTAATACTATGAAATGGATGCCGTATAAAGAAATGTACCAAATCTGTCTTTCATGTCTGAGTCTAGTAAGTATAGAGTTTATCAACAATAACATCTATTCAAACACAGGCCCTCTATGCATTGCATACTAGTGTAAGATATGTGTGTGTGTGTGTGCACGTGCAGCTGCGTGTCCATGTGCGTGTTCGTGAGTGTAAACCCAAGAACATGCAAAAGAGAAGGACATGAGACATTGAGGTCATACTAGCCCGAAGATTCCCGCAGGCCATGCTTGTGCAGCTGCAACAATTTCTCCAGTGTGCAAGGTCAACCCTATAGAATCACATTGAACAAATTAGGCCCATTATTAGCATAAACTAAAGAAAAATCAAACAGATTGGAACCAGAGAAATCCAGAATTCTAACCTGAGATGATAAAAATCCCAAACGTGCTAAATTTTGACAAAGAATATGTATCAGCCAGACAACCTAGACTAGGATTTGCCATCCCTATAGCTACTCCACCAACAAGAGCTGCATACAATATTGCAGATATTTATCAATACACAATACTAAACAACACAAGGAATGTGATCAATTATGATAACACTGTGAAAACACAAAACTTTCAACCAAACATAGAGTTAGAAGTCACCTAAGGGAAGAAAATTATTCGCCACGAAATTCGACAATGGTTTAGCCCAACTCAAGCCCTTCACTGAACCAGAATGGTTATGAGCTTTCTTTAGTTAGATAAACTTTAACAATACAATCAAAGGCATCAATATGAAATCTAAAGCACCATTCCAAGAGGGCAACAAACTAACATGAGAAAAACAAAACTAGAGCGGACAAAAGCCGCACAAAAACTACTAGCCCATATCACTACAATTAACCATAAGTCCAAATAAATCTCACAAACCCAACATGACCGAAACCCTAAACCAACCCATGAGCCTAAATGAACCCTACCATCACCATTTGAAGGAGTGCCGTTGCAGCCAAACCCACCACCGCATTCGTAATGGATCTAGGAAAATATGATTTCCAATTATCTACCTGCACATAATAGCGAACAAATAACCGAAAACAAGAACCCTGCCAAAGAATAATTGAGTGGTTTGCAGTAACCTCTGTCAAACACAATGCAGAACCAAAAGAGAACATGAGCAGTGTTAGAGAGTGGGTTTTAGGAGAAGGATTTGATTGAGAATATAGACTAAAGGGAGTGATGGGGAACTTCATTCTGAGCATGGCTCAGAAGAAATCATCATAAGGGGCTTCTTATTTAAAACGCCTCAGTGAACTTATTCACTAACCCAAAAGGAGAAGATGAGAAGAGAGGAGGGAGAGGAGAGGTTGTGACGCTTCTTCCTCCTCCCTCCTCTATGGAGTTTTTCCTTTGGGACACACAAAGGGAGAACGTATCTAGGGTTTTAAAGGTATTAAGTCTCTAGTTGTCTTCTATTTAAACGATGATGTAATGTTTTCTTAATGAATACAATTTATGAGCTTCTTATCAAAAACAAAAGGCAAAGTAGTTTTTAATTGGATTTTTTTTCCATCATGGGGAGGATCGGGAACCCGTTCCCAAACAAAGACAAGAATGGGGAATCCTTGATTTCAATATTGTGGGTATGAAGGCGGGAATTGGGGGAAAATGCTTAATGAGGATGGGATGTGAATGATATACCCACCCTTGATTGGACCCATTGTCATCCATATCTTCACGCTCTTGTGGAAGAAAGCTTACCTAAAACCATAGTATGAAATATCGATAATATCGACGAAATATCGAGGATATTTCGATTGTTTCAAATCACGGATATTTCGGAACATATCCATGTACATATCGTATAAATATCGACAATATCGACGATAATATCGGAAAATATCGATGTTGATAATTTCGCTCACACTTCAGCAATTTTTGTCAAAATATCGGTGTAATATCGCTAAAATATCGAAAATATTGATGTAAAGGGGAAAAAAAGAAAAAAAAAAGAAAAAAAAGGGAAAAAAAGGGAGAAAAAAAACACAAAGGAGATTTGAACGCCTCCCATTTTACTCCTCCAACACCATAACCACTATATCACTTATGTTTTTGTGATAATATGCTAAAATATTTATATTTATATGGGTGGCATGATAACAATTACATGCAAAACTATTTTGGGGATTTATCATTTGATGACTACTCTTTACAATACACTTACTCTACACATAGAGATGATGAAGATAGTGAAAAATTTGAACCTCATGGGAACTCTATGTGGTACTAAGTCACTCATGTATCTTACCATGCAATGTATAAAGTGTAAAATATTGTAGTAAATCATTATTTATAAATGATTATGGTGTGTTTAATCCTTTTTCATTAATTACTACATATTTTCTACACTTACAGTGTTTGCCAGCTCGCTGTATAATCAACTTAAATCAGTTAAATTCATCATGCAATGCATTTCCTTCTAATTTTTTGTGATAAACTGATAGATAATTGACTAAATAAACATTCTCCAAAGTTTCAATAAAAATTTCCAAGTTTTTCTTACAATTTCCTTGGTTTTTATTCAATTTTTATCGATATCGATAATATCCCGATATTTCCATCGAAATTTCCGTGTTTTTGGACTATCGATATTTCCGATATCATCGATATTTTAGACCTTGGCTAAAATAGAGAGAGCTCAAAATACACTTTGTTTTTTTATATGAGCGTTAATTTAAATTATTTTAAATTAATTTAATCTACGACGAAAATTCAAACTTGAGTTGACTATCCCAAAAAGCAACAAGATTCCCCATCTTAGAAATAACACCCATCAAATTATCAAAATAAAAATAAAAAATTTACTTAGTTAGAAAACTATCACAAAGCAAACCAAAAGAAAATTACCATAAAGGGATTGCTATAGGGCATTTTTCATTTAGTCTGCATAAGATTCATAATGTTAATGTTAAATAAGGACGCATTTTTGTAGTTGTTGAACGATAATGCCCTTATTCAATTTTTTATATATTGCTTTGGAAGCCTACCTTTGCTTTTCATATGGTGGACAAAGAAATTTTCCTTTTGCTTTCTGTATAGCGTCAAACATGGCTCCACTTTCTTTTTTTGGACGAACATGGCTCCACTTTCTTTTGTAAAGTTTGGTACTATATATGTAGATGATCTCTTCATGCGCATGAAAAATTTCCCGAGAGCCTTTCCGATGACACACTTGTTTAAGACAAGCTTTACAACAAAACTTATATTCCTCTCGCAAAAGACAACTATGTAAGACCGTGATTAATTATAATCATAAATAAAACTCTCTTTAGACAATCAATGAGACTTTTTTTCCGACAGCGTATTTGTATATCGGAACTACAAAACATGGTGGTGACATTTTTTCCGAAGGTTGTTATTTTGCGATCGGAAAAAATGTTTTTCCATGCGTATTTGTGGCCCTCGGAAAAGCTTTGTCTGTGTGAGGTGTAGTGTCACACCCGAGTATTTTCGGTTAGGGAGGGCCTTTGATTCAATAGTGGTCCCTGTGATATTTCAACTTTCAATGGTTTAGTGTGCACTTAATTCGAACCAATGAGAGATGACATTTTTTCCGAGGGTTGTTATTTTGCGATCGGAAAAAATGTATTTCCATGCGTATTTGTGGCCCTCGGAAAAGCTTTGTCTGTGTGAGGTGTAGTGTTACACCCGAGTATTTTCGGTTAGGGGGAGGGCCTTTGATTCAATAGTGGTCCCTGTGATATTTCAACTTTCAATGGTTTAGTGTGCACTTAATTCGAACCAATGAGAGAGAGAGAGAGAGAGAGAGAGAGAGAGAGAGAGAGAGAGAGGTCAATTCTGGTGCAATAATGCATTGCCAAAATGAATGGACGAATCCAATTTAAACAGAAGTTAATGACAGTCCCCTAAGCTAAAAGCTGGCAACAATTATGATGCTACCAAATTCATTATTGCAAACCTCACAATTGCAAGGACAGAAATTTGTCAATGTTTAAATTTAAAGTCTGCATTAATTTAAAGCATATGAACAGGGACCGACCTTTAGTTTGGCAAACCTTCTTTTTTCCAGCCAAACAAATAATATCCTAGCTCACCACCTTAGTTTGGCAAACTTGGAGATGGCTTCTTTTTCTAGCCAAAAAAATAAAATCCTAGTTCACCCAATTTAAATAACCTAACCTCATCTAGTTCTCCTATTTCACACAGCAGAGCAAAAGAAAAATAACTCACACACAGCACATAGGGAAAAAAAACAAAAAAAGAGGGAAAAAAAAAAACAATCTTATTGTTGCTGCACTCACCTTCAAGACTTAATTCAAGTGAACCAAGTTCCTATATTCGTCATGTAAGATTCTCTCAATTTCTTGATGCTTTAATTTGAGGATTTTTTGGGAGTTTATGAAGTATATCAATTAGGATTTGCAATTGACACTTACGAATTATCAGTTAGGATTTGCAATTGGGGCATCAGTTTCAGTTTATGAGTTATGAATTATCAAATAGGATTTGTAATCGATTTTATTGTTCTTGTTGTAATTTTTTTTTTGTTATCAATGAAATTACATGGTATTGTTGAGTTTTGGACAAACTACAGTAAACCCCCCAACCTATAAGGTCATTTACGATTACATACCCGATTTTGGGGACATTTACAATTACATACACAACGTCACGGAAAACCTACAAAATGCCCCCTCCGTTAGCGAGACCGTTAGTGAATCTGTTAAATGTTGATGTGGCGAATGTGGATTCCATTTTTTTAATGAGGTGAACTTACAGGTGGACAAATAAATATTTAAAAAATTCTATATTATTTAAAAATAATTATAAACAAGTAAATAATATTATTCAATTAAATTAAAAATCAAAAATCAAAAGAAAACAATTTGAACCAAGTTCCTATATTCGTCATGTAAGATTCTCTCAATTTCTTGATGCTTTAATTTGAGGATTTTTTGGGAGTTTATGAAGTATATCAATTAGGATTTGCAATTGACACTTACGAATTATCAGTTAGGATTTGCAATTGGGGCATCAGTTTCAGTTTATGAGTTATGAATTATCAAATAGGATTTGTAATCGATTTTATTGTTCTTGTTGTAATTTTTTTTTTGTTATCAATGAAATTACATGGTATTGTTGAGTTTTGGACAAACTACAGTAAACCCCCCAACCTATAAGGTCATTTACGATTACATACCCGATTTTGGGGACATTTACAATTACATACACAACGTCACGGAAAACCTACAAAATGCCCCCTCCGTTAGCGAGACCGTTAGTGAATCTGTTAAATGTTGATGTGGCGAATGTGGATTCCATTTTTTTAATGAGGTGAACTTTCTCTATCCTCATCAACTGCCTCTTCCTCTTGCTTCCCTCAGAGACCTCTCTCTCCGTCGTTGTGCACACAAACAGCCCATCTGAGGGATTCAAAGGAGATGAAATTGCACTTTCTGGATATGAGTTTGATGAATTTGAAGGAGATCAAATTGACCCATGGTTCAATTTTGATTTTTTACCTTTTTCCCGTTTCTTACTGAAAATTCTGAGGGATTCAAAGGAGATGAGACATACCCAGATCCTGATTTGAAATCGGAACCCATTTTATCATTTGGGCTCTGTTTGGAAGGTGAGAAAATCGCATAGTCTTCATCCCTCACACCACCATCCTTCCCGGCAGCTCCCTAGCACCACAATCAATACACAATAAAACAACACTGAATGA